ATTGCATTATCGCCCATGAGAGTGCGCATATGTGAGTGTCGTGCGCATAGGCGTATCCAGGATTTTTTCTCAGGGAAGAGAGAAGTTTATCAAATCTGTTAACGTATAAACAACACCTTTTTTCGTCAGTGAATTGCTTTTTTGGATATTTTAGGACTCAGATATTTCCTCATTTCTGATTTTTAATGAGAAAAATATTAGGTTTTGTAAATTATAACTTTAATTTTATAACTTAAATTTGGCGGAGTTTAGATCCCCTTCTACGCCCATGCATATTAACGATGTGTTGGATTGTGTTGAAGCTTGAATGGTTCGCTAAGTACAAATCTTCGGTGGTGTCCAAGCAAGCAGGTGTCTACCTCTGCTGGCTCGGTTACCGGATGTTTTTGCTATGGCTTCGATATGTCAGCCATAGGTAGAGCCACGAACACGCTTCTGCGATCTGTCCGCTGTGGATAAAGTAGATTCCTGAGAACATTCGAATTCTACAGGGTGTGTCGTTTCGAACGAGAGACAAAGCTATCTTCAAGAAATTCGAAACTCTGTTATCTTTTATCTTAACAAAAGAAAGCTATGACAATTTCTTCGATTACAATATCTGATATATTTTCCTTAGTTGATTAATATTTTGTCACGGTCCACTTCAAATTAACGACGAATGGTATTCCATCTTTTAATTTTTATAACATTTGTAATTTGATCCTTAAAGAATTGATTGCGTCATAATAATTTATATATTTATGACTCTTATAACTCTTTGCTTTTGCTAAAAAAATTGGTTCCAGATAGACAGGAAGTAACGTTAATTTCAATTTTTCTCCGATTTCGAGGCGCCCTGTATATCCAGAAATTAAACACGCTAATTAGCATTTTAAATTATCAGGATCATTTTGTTCCTCGTCTTTGCAGAAGATATTGATTGCGGATACAAATGACATTTTCCACGTATGATTCGAAATAAGTAACATCCGCTCGCGCTCTCACGCGCATCGGGGGTGGGAGGGAAGGGGGAGGTGAGGCAGAGAGAGAGGGAGGAACACGGCAGAGAGGGCAATGGATAGCAACAGGTTGTGACGTCACGAGGCGCCACGCGACTCCGCTTCATTCACGAGAAGCCAGAAGAGCGAAAGAGGGTGGACCAGGAACTCATAATCGGCGATGCCTTGCCTTTCCTGTTTTCTCACGTGATTCGACAAGCCGGTTTATCTCGATCGACGGCCACGGCACTCGGCCCGATCTGGCATTGGCAATTATTGGCTCGTAACGGTTCATGCCGAAGCCCGGCACAGAAGCGAAGCTACGGAAATGGGTTCCCAATTCGGAATTGATACGGATAAATTATCGTTCCGTCCGGATACGGTTGTCGCGAATATCGTTAGGTGCGTGGAAAGCTTGAACCCGTCGGCTCTCTATAGCTGAACTATTAATCATGAACACTGTGCCTGACTATCGGTTGGCCGATCAATTAAAATAAAAATAGAAATTTATGCCTGTCGCATAGAAAGTATTTGTTCACACGCGTACATACGTCACGTTTTCATATGTCAATTTAATATCACGAGCGGAACAAACCCAAGATGTCAAGCTTCGCGTCGAGATTGATAAAGACTGACACGAGTATTATCGTTCATTTGATTGACTTGGTTATTTTTGGACGTTGCTATCTATATATATTTTTTAAAGAAATATAATAAATATAATCATTTAATCTATAACGTTATCAAATTTGTTTAATAAAATGTCTTCGTATGAATATTTTATAAATGATATATGCTTTTTATATTTAATAGACATGGAGTGATATTTATATTATCGGTATCTTTTTTCTTAAAATTGATATTTTTATATCGATTCTTTTTTGATTATTATAAATATTTGAAATTAATAATAAGATTGAGATTGGGTATTAATAGCAATGATATTTTTATATATGAAATTGATATCAATTCTTTCATTCTTCGATTCTTTGTAAAACATGCGAATACTTGGAAATATTGATATATTTACTTTTATCAATTAATCATATCATCACAAGTATTATATCTTTTGCCTTTCTCATTGCTTACTTATGAAATGAAGACATTTTAATAATTTTTAAATTATAACTATATTTTTAGTTGTAATACGTAATTTCAAGTTTTTATATATCACGAGTATTTGTATTTTGTCATCATTATTCATTTTAAAAGTGAAATTTATTTGGTATTAAACTTATTTTCCTGAGATACATAAGGGTGTTTCTATTACAATTCTTGAATTGGAATTAATTATATTAATTTCATCACTATACTTATAACACATCAAATGTATAAATACATATTCTACATATACGTACATTAATCCACACGTGTGATATTCACTCGACCGAGGATGTCAGTGGTCATTTCAGCTATCTCTATATTTATTTCGTTGCTGTCTCGTTCTGGGAAGATCAATACTTATTTTCGTGAGAACGAACGCTAATTTCGCGTTCATTCAGTTTCTCTTTTTACCGTAACCGGCATCGATCCTCTCGCGATTCGCGTTGACCCAGGGTTCTTCAACCCCGGTGACATCGTGCGCGTAGTCGACGTTCGAATTCGAGTCTATCCGTTCACCGGCGCAACGCGACGCGTCGCGTCGCGTCTCGTTTCGTCTCGTCTCGTCTCGTCTCGTCTCGTCTCGTCTCGTCTCATCTCTCTCCCTCTCCCTCTCGCCTCGGCGCAGAAAGACGGCGAGCGAAGGATGAAAGACGACGGCGAAGCAAGGTGAACGCGGCGCGAGTACCCCACCACGGAGCGAGTAGCCACGCGAGTTCATTCATGAGATCGTGGGAACGTGCCTCACGGTGGGTCCGTTCTACCCCGTCCCTCCTCCCCCTCCCCCTTCCCTCATCCTCCTCCTGTGCACATGTTAGCCGGTCGGTTTATCTTTTCTTGTCCTGTCTCCCTCCGTTTCTCTCCGTCTCTCTCTCTCTCTCTCTCTCCTCCCGTCGCTCTCGCGCGCT